CTGAACTTGGACTCCACGGACCGCGTAGAATAGACCGCGACCGCGGAGGGAGCTGGCGCGGTCCGCGCAATCACGACCGTGGAACGCATGGCATTGGCTTTGCAAACTTTCATCTCTCTTACTCTTATGACCGCGGATCGCACAAAAGAGTAGTGCGGCCGCGGAGCCTCCACCGCGGACCGCGAGATGTGTACCGCGGCCGCGCTTCTTCTAGCCTGGTTTACCAACTCTCTGAGCCACCTAGTGTGGCCGCATTCAACTTTGCGCGGTCCGCACTGGGCCTTTTTCCTTAGATTTCCTGGTCTTTGATACTTGAGCAGGTTTCACTCCTTTTTGAGCCGATCTTTGACATTTCGTCACTTTGTCGATCAAACCTGCAATCAAGCACAACTTGTGAGCCTTTTTAGGATTATTTGGTAACAATATATGATCAAAGCATAGGCAAGTAGGGGCATAAAACATGTTAAAATCCTAACTTATCAATATGCTCGTCACCTCATATATGTATCACCCCCGCATGTAGCAAACAATGTCAAATAGGAGGAAAAATTTCCTCAACAAAGTTAGGCAAGACACTTATCTCGAACAAGCCAATTACAATACCGAGCAAGCCAAGCGATGCTTCAAAAATTCCATCACGCGCGTAGTGACCTCCGAACAGCTCAAACTAGCTAAAAGCAATTCAAATACATCAAATAAAGCCCAAGGAAACAATTCCAAATGATAAAGATCGAATCCTAAATCAAATCTCAAATCCGGCCAAAAATCACACCCGAGCTCACGCCTCGGAACCCGACAAAACTTACAAAATCTGATAACTCATTCAATTATGAGTTCAACCATACTAGTTTCACTCAATTCCGACTCCAAATCGATGTTCAAAACTTAAAAATCCATCTTATGAAACTTTAGGCCAAAACCCCCAATTTCCTCTTTAAAGTTCATCAACCAAAATGTAAAATTGAAGATAGATTCATGAAATATAACCAAAACCAAGTAGAGAACACTTACCCTAATTCATATGGTAAAACAATCTCCTCAAATATTTCCCAATTCCGAGCTCCCCAACTCAAAATATGTTAAATGAACAAAATCCTAATTTTGATACTGTTTTCCTTGTTTCTTGTGATAATGATATCAAAATTCGCTTTTGATGCCTCCAATGGATTCTTAGTAAAATTTTAGTCAAGTTAGGCTCTTGAATAACTCCATTTGACCTTATAGTGAAGGAGATATGTTGGTTTTAATATTTGAAGAAAGTGTAGATTTTTAAATACGAAGTCAGTGACAATTTCGTAATTAATCTAAAAAATCTGGTAACCCAATTCTTAGTAAAATGGCCATAAACTCCTCATATGATGTCCAAATTCGACGATTCATTTTTCTATAGGTTCGTAATTGTGATACGGATCTAATGGTTCAATAAAAATATATAGTGGAGCTAATTTGATAAGTGTAGTACCATTTATGCTTGAAGAAACAACTTCGAAACATAAAAAAAGAGCGCAACACGACCCAAACATATCCGAAACTCACCCGAGCCCCTCGAGACAACATCCAAACATACCAACAAGTGCCATAACATAATACAGACTTACTCGAGGATCCAAAACACACATAGCAACATCTAAACGTCGAATCACACCTCAATCCAAAAATCAATGAACTTGAAACTTCAAACTTCCACAACCGATGTTGAAACCCATCAAATCACGTCCAATTGACCTCAAATTTTACAATCAAGTCACATTTGACATTACGGGCATGTTCCAACTTCCGGACGTGAAATCCGGACCCGATATCAATAAGACCACTCTCGGTGAAACTTTCCGAAAAAATCCAACTTTCACCACTTCGAACCATATTCAACTAAGGACCTCCAAATCACAATCCGGACACGCTCCTAAGTCCAAAATCACCCAACGGAGCTAACAAAACCATCAAAATTCCTATCCGAGGTCAAATACTAAAAAATCAAATTCGGCCAACTCTTTCAAATTTGAAGCTCCCTAGTTGAGAATCATTCTTCCAAATTAGTCCCAAATAACCTGAAAACCAAAATCGGCGATTCTCATAAGTCAAAATACTTCATACGAAGCTACTCACGCCCGTAAACTACCGAGCGAAGTGCAAATACTCAAAACGACCAGTCGGGTCGTTACAATTTTTTGTGCACAAAGAGCACCGTTCAAGAACTCCATAACCAACCTACTTGTTGGGGTTACCAACCCTCTTACTTTGGAAAGAATTGTCCAGGAAGCTCAAGACAAGTGTGACCCTCTAAATGCCAAGATTGTAGCTTGTTGCCTTATGATTTATGGTGGTATTGTGCCAAAGGTTGTCAATGTTATAGTGGCCACCATCTCATGTCACGTTGACATAGATCACATCTTCTCCTTATATTTCCCAGGATACCTTTGTGTAGAGACAATTGGCAGGGTGTGCTACTAACACCTCTCTTGACGCGAACTTTGAGAATAAGGTTCTTTTCGAGGAAGGGAGTATTATTGTGAACCAACCTTACTTGTTAAGGGATTATGGGCCAGAAATACGGAACGAGGCTGACCCAGTTGGAACTATTGGGCCAATAGCTAAAGGCTCAATGATTGAACAACCAAATAGAATACTAGTACATTATATTTGGGATATAGGGGGAGATACGGGGCATGCGTATTGTTGAGTAAAATGTCTGTTTCTCCTCATCTTCCTTCTCGAGTGTTCTGTATTCTCTCATTCTCATTCGTAGTCTGAGCTTCTCATCCCTTCATCTCTATCCTTTGTATTTCAGCTTAGTATCTCTAATTCATGTAATAGTTTTGAGTTGAGTTGTAATTTCCTGTCACTGCTGAAGTAATAGAAGTGTTGAAAAACTGATTCGTTACACGTGATGAGTGCTGAGAAGCCATTCAAGTTTTGTGGTATATAATATGTCGAAATGGTAAATAAGAATAAATACAGTGTTGCAGCTTTCATGTAATGACTATCTTTCTATATGGATATTTTGGTAATAAAGTCTTACTATTATCTTTATGTATTTGGTATGGAAATTTTGAGAGGTTGAGCTGACTAAATTAGAAAATTCTATGCATTTCGGTTTTCCGAGGTGTTTGGGTTTTAGAAAATGCCATTGAGGAATGGCTATTTGAATATATTCAGTTTTTGAGATTTTTAACGACGGATTGTAAAGTTTATGTTTAGTATTGTTTAGTATCTGTATTGGGAAAAATCAGGTCAATATGTCAAATTAACTTAAAGGTGACACGTCATGACACGTGGACTGGTAAAAGAATGACAGTTGGCGAAGAATAGTTGAAGAGACACGAGCTTCAACAGACACGGGTATAAGCTTCAACAGGCACGGGCATGAGCTTTAACAGGCACGGGCAGAGATCTCAAAAAGGCAGAAAGGATAAGTGCTCGAACCTATTAATAATTGAGGGTCGCATCAGAGGAATGAACCTACATAGCAAAAAGAGTACATATATGTATCATTGGTAATTAATAGACATTAATTACGGAAAACGTTATGGAATCCGTATTGATTCAGTTATGATTACCAATTATAACGTTGCATTAAATGCCTTTAATTGTCATAAAGACTCTATTATGATAGAATCTGAACGTATTACCTAGAGATAGCTCTAAAAGGAGAAGACTGATCATTTGTAAGGACACGAAAGACTATTGGAATATACTGATTAAATTTGCTTTCTTCTGTTCATCTTGTTGTTGTTGAAAATCAATTTCTTTTATTCGTTTTATATTTGATTATCAGTAACCCGAGTTCTTCTAAAATAAAGTTTTGACCGAAATTCCTATTTTTGGTTAAACAGTATCCTCCTTTTATAGTTTCCATTTTGTTTTTGAGACAATTGAATCTGCCTTGTAAATGTTCTGCAGCTGTTGAGCAAATATGTCTTGCTTGACTTGTTTAACTATAAAAATAAAAACGTGCATTTCTATTATGTCCAAGGGCAGGAGTTGGAAACTGCCCTTGAATCTGTCATTGTGAAATCTATTGATTTTGGATACGATGAGGGAAAGACGCCCCTACAATCAGTTAGCTTCAAGAGCCAAGATACAGAACCAACAATATTGCAATCGGATGGCTTTGGAAAGATGTCGATAGAAAAAACTGTCAGCTTTAGGACAATGGAAAATGCAATGGAGTTCAGTAAAACTTCATCAGAAGAGAAGCACAAGTTTAACGAGTTTCGTAGGTTAATTAGAAAGCATGAACTGAGAGTCTCCGAAATCTCCTATAAAATATACTAGCAGCCCCAAACATGAGGCAGCTTTAAAGTTGCAGAAAGTGTACAAAAGCTTTAGGACTAAAAGAAAATTAGCAGACTTTTCAGTAAGTAGAATTTCTTCGGTATACTAAATTTGTGTTATATGTCAATTTTTATAATTTTGCTAATGTGGAAAAGGTTTCCTGTGGAACAGATTGACCCACGACATCGTTATGGACACAACTTGCATTTCTATTATGTCCAATGGCTGCATTCTCAAAGCAAAGAGCCATTCTTCTACTGGTAATTGTCTAGATAACGAATGATTGAATTGCAACAATAATGCGACATAAACTTTTCTCATTTGATAACTGTATTTCTCTGAATCAGGTTGGATATTGGAGAAGGAAAAGAAGTGAATATTGTTGACAAATGCCCTCGATGGAAACTTCAGCAGCAGTGTATTAAATACCTTGGTCCGGTAGGTCTTAGCTCCATTTATCAGTTTGTTGTAATGAGTATCTCGCTAATTGCTCTTATGGGGGTTTGAAAATTTACTTACCATCGGTTTTTTGTTCATTCACAACAGATGGAAAGAAAGGCTTATGAAGTTGAAGTGCAAGATGGGAAGCTCTTGTACAAGGAAACAGGGAAGCTCCTTAACACTACCATTGAACCAAAAGGCGCTAAGTGGATTTTTGTCCTCAGCACCTCTAAAACTTTATATATTGGCAAGAAAACGAAAGGCACATTACAGCACTCTAGTTTCTTGGCTGGAGGAGCCACATTAGCGGCTGGGAGAATAGTTGCCGAACAAGGAGTATTGAAGGTATGTTGATATATCACTTGCACGCTTCCAGTTCGACTTATATTGATACCTTATTCTGATTCTGATCTAACTCCTTTTGTCTTCATTAACTGAATTCTACAGGCTGTCTGGCCTCATAGTGGACATTACCGACCTACCCCAGAAAACTTCCAGGACTTTGTTTCATTCATGAGGGAGAACAATGTCGACCTCAATGATGTTAAGGTACAAATTTGATCTTTTTAGGTCTTAGTTCATACTTTTCTAAAATAGAGTCACATGCTGATTAGTTTCACATTACGCAGCTTGATTCCGACGAAGATGAGGAAGAATCCATTGGCAAGAAGAGTGGTGTTTTCCTCAGAGGAAACTCTTCTGAGGATGACTTGCGAAAAGATGTTTTGGAGACGGAAGCGAATGATTTAGAAGAGTCGACTTCAGAGAAAAGTGACTTGAAAGTACAACAGAATGCTGCTGATATACAACTTGTTGCGGAAGCCAAATGTATATAGTGTGAATAAGTCACAACTACTATACCAAAAATTATGACAGTCATCAAATAATAAATAAGATAATAAAGCAACAATAAAAGAAACATCAGAATTTACGAGGTTCGGCTAATTTTGTCTACTCCTCGGACACAACCAATATTTTATTCCACTCCAAAATACAAGTGAAATAATACTAAAGAGAGAAGATACAAATGTCTTAAACAGATGAGAAGACAAATGAGAGGTGTGTTTAAATCCTAAACATTAGGCCTTCTTTTATAGGAAAAAATCCCCCCCAAACTCAAGAGCCCACCGATGTGGGACAAAGAGTTTGCCAAACTTCAATAAATCTCCACCTTGGCAAAATTCCACATCTTCAATTTTCTCTCAATAACAAATTTCAAAATTTTGATTGTGTCTAAATCTTCAATCTTTAGTGTTCAACAATGTTGATCAAATCCAAACAATGTTGAAACTTGATCGCAATCACCACCTTTGTCAGTTTATTAGCAGGATTCTCCGTAGTATGAATTTTCTTCACCGTGACTCCTCCTTCATCTATGATTTCTCGTACGAAATGATACCGAACATCAATATGCTTCGNCACCATATTTTCTTTTCCAGCAATTTTGAATCCTTTTGGCTGAGTCATGTAGATTTCCTCCTCCAAGTTTTCATGCATTTTTACATCCATCTGAACTAGTTTCAAATCCAACTGTGCTACCAAAGCCAACATAATTCTAATGGAGGAATGTTTTACAACTGGAGAAAATACTTTATTGTAATCAATTCCCTCCTTTTGAGCATATCCTTTGGCCACCAATCTTGCTTTGTAGCGAACATCTACTTGGTTAGAAAATCCTTCTTTCTTTGCAAATACCCATTTGCACCCAATTGCTTTCTTTCCCTTCGGTAGATTGGCCAATCTCCATGTATGATTCTGATGAAGGGACTGTATTTCATCATTCATGGCAATCCTCCACTTATCTTCTTCTGAACTTTGGACAGCGTCTTTATAAGTAGTAGGAACATCATCAGCTACAATTGAGGTTGCACAAGCAACCGTCTCTATGAGACGAACAGGTTTCGTTATTGTTCTTTTTGGCCTGCTGGTTGCTATTGATTCAAGTTGTTGTTGAGATTCCTGAGTTGGAATCTCCTCTACTGGCTCTCCTTCCAGAGGGTAATCTTCATTTGTTTCCTCCTCTGCTTCTTGTGTAGGAAAAATAAATTTTCCCTCAAACTCCACCTGCTTAGAAGCACCTTCATTTTGTTTGGTATCTTCTGTTACCTTATTTACCATAGCAAATTCATCAAAGGTAACATCTCTGCTGAATATTACTTTCTTTGTCATAGGACACCATAAGCGATATCCTTTGACTCCAGAAGTAATTCCCATAAAAATAGCCTTCTTTGCCCTTGGATCCAATTTTGACTCCGTCACATGATAATATGCAGTTGAGCCAAACACGTGCAAAGAGTTATAATCTACAGCAGGTTTTCCATACCATTTTTCAAATGGTGTCTTGCCATCAATAGCAGCAGATGGTAGACGATTAATGAGGTGGCATGCATATGTAATTGCCTCAGCCCAAAATTCTTTGCCCAAGCCAGCATTGGACAACATACACCGTACCTTCTCCAGCAAGGTCCGGTTCATACGTTCTGCCACTCCATTCTGTTGTGGTGTATGTCTAACAGTGAAGTGTCGGACGATGCCATCATTTTCACAGACCTTATTGAAATGATCATTTTTGTATTCACCTCCATTGTCTGTGCGAATACACTTGATCCTCTTGCCTGTTTGATTCTCCACCATCGTCTTCCATTTGAGAAAAATTCCCAACACTTCATCTTTGCTCTTCATTGTATACACCCATACTCTTCGGGAAAAATCATCAACAAAGGTTACAAAATAGTGCTTCCCACCCAATGAAGGTGTTTTGGAAGGACCCCAAACATCAGAGTGTACATAATCCAAAATGCCTTTAGTATTATGGATCGCTGTACCAAATTTAACCCTTGTCTGTTTCCCTTTGACACAATGCTCATAAAACTCGAAGTTGCAAGGCTTTACTCCTTTTAACAATCCTTGATTTGATAGAGTTTTCAAGGATTTTCCTCCAGCATGTCCCAAGCGCATGTGCCATAGCTTGGTTGCTTCTGCCTCTTTGTCGTCACTGGATGTCACTGTCATTGTCCCAATAACTGTACCGTCACGATAGCGGTACATATTATTATTCTTCCGATTGGCCTTCATTACCACTAGTGCACCGGAGCATACTTTCATCACTCCATTTTCTGCAATGATTTTGAACCCTTTTGATTCGAGGACTCCATTCTTCCGAATAATATTAGGAAGTGAGCCTCCACTTCATCTACCCCGCTCTGATGCGATGTGTGACATCTTCGTCAATCTCCCCGTTACCCTAGATAATAGACCCTAGATACTTAAAACTCGCTCTCTTGGGGATAACTTGAGTATCAAACTTAACCTCTACATCTGCATCATGGGTCTCACTAAATTTGCACTCACTACTAGAAATCCGGACAAAAGCGACCATAAAAAGTAACCAAAGTTGGTCGCTTATGGAATAAAAAGCGACCAAACACGCCTGGTAGCTATATTGATGGTCCCTTTTATTCAGGGACCAAAGTTGGTCGCTATTTTGGCGACCAACTTTGGTCTCTAAGCTAAAAGGGCCAAATATTCTGATTTTGACTTTAGTGACCAACTTTGGTCGCTATATTAATTTAATAATATAAATTTGGCGACCAAAGTTGGTCTCTACATATGAAATACGTTATTTTCAATTTATCATTAATCATTAGAAAGCGACCAACATTGGTCTCTAATCCAAATATTATATTTTAAAATCTGGACAATAGAGACCAAAGTTGGTCTCTAAATTCAAGAATTTAATTTTTTTTTTAAAGATAAGCGACCAACATTGGTCGCTATATTTCCAGAAATTGTATTTTTTTTAATACAAATCTGGGCAGGTAGCGACCAGGATTGGTCGCTATTGCCCAGAAAATTATTTTTTTATAGTGAAATGCGACCAAATAGAAACCAAAGTTGGTCGCTTTTCTTGGTATATTTTTGGCAGAAACTGCCTGTTTTGGCAGCTACACCACCTGCCAGCTTACCAAACATCCTAAACATGCATTTTATGCCAGCAACAACAACAACAACAATTAAAATCAACAATCAATAGAACTAAGACATTAAGCTAACAAAACTAAGTTAACGTTTATTATAAGCCCATTCGAACTAAAAAGAACTAACACAATAGAACTAAGTTTTTTTGTCTAGTTCAAAGTATATAAAGTACTCAAGGAGTGTTCTTTCAGCATCCTAGTCCGAAAGTTGGATTGCCTCACCCGATTCATTAGGTGGTTAACTGCATATGAATTCCCCCACGTCAGTTGCATGTGAAGCGAACCTATATGAAAAATTATATATATTGAATTAGTATATCAAAATTTATATAAAAGTAAATCAAAATACTTAATGCAAAAGTAAAAAACTTACATGTATATAGTCGAGGCTCGACCCTCCTTTCTGAATCAGCCTCTTTCTTTTTCTTTACAATACGAGTTTCATTGAATAGCTCATCTTGCTTCTTTGGCATCATAAAGTTGTCTGGTGGCTTTGGTGATTATCCTCGTGGTACTATTACTCGAGATGAACTTGGATACAGAGAATAACTTGGATACAGTACCTGACAGGGTGTGTCTTTGATCAATTATTGATCTCTATAGCTACAATGATAATGAGAAGGCAACGACATGTGTTTCAAAATAGTGATGGTAAAGGTAGGATTTAACATTTCCTAAGTAGATAAAAGAGGTTATAAAGGAATTCTCTACTTCAGTTTCCAAGAGGAAAAGAAGTTTGATTGATAGTGACAACGTTGATGAAGACTGAATGTTTTCCGTTGGTCATGGTAGTTCCTATAAAGTGGGGATCATAAGACTCTATGATGACCCACGGAATACATTCGGTCTTCATCAACCTTGTCACTCTCAATTAAACTTCTTTTCCTCATGGAAAATGAAGTACAAAATTACTCTATAAGCTCTTCTTTTATCTACTTAGGAAATACTAAATTCATACCTACACCATCACTATTTGAAACACATGTCATTGCCTTCTCATCATCATTGTCGCTAATGAGAAGAACAATTAAAGGCACACTTTGCCAGGTACTGTGTCTTAGTTATTCTTGGTGGAAGTTCTATTGCATGTCTAATAACGTCATCAACCTCTTCTAATAATCCTCCGGCAATCTAAAATTCCAAAACATAAACTAAAAGTTCAATTCATATCCTAAA